CCCCTTGGGCGACGGGAAGCAATTGCTATGGATATCACCGGCCCCTTCCCGAAGCACAAGACCGGCGTTGATGGGATCCTCACGGTCGTCGACCGCCTCACCGAGTACTCCATGTTTTTGCCTTGCTGCTATCACGCAAAGGCACCGGAGTTAGCCGAGGTCTTATACACCGGTTGGATTCGCTCCAAGGGCTACCCCAAGGAGATCGTTTGCGACCGGGACACTCGCTTTCTCTCCGACTTTTGGGTCGCCCTCGTCAAGCGATGGGGCTCATCCTTGAAGCCGAGTTCGGCTCGCCACCCGCAAACCGATGGTCAAACGGAAAGGGCGCATCACACCGCTCAAGTCCTTCTCCGCACTCTCATCCGTCCCGACCAGGTTGATTGGGTTGAACGCTTGCCAGACATTGAGTTGGCTTACAACTCATCGATCCACCCGGCTATCGGGATGTCGCCGTTCGAGTTTGAGCATGGTTCACCCATCTCATCGCCGCTGGACGCTACTTCGCCGCGCACAGCCGAGAGCGACGACCATCTTGCGTTCCTTCGTCGCATGCAAGAGCTTCTTGTCAAGGCACGGGATCAGATGTCGAAGACGCAAATACGGATGAGCCATCAAGCCAACCGCAATCGCCTTCCTTGCCCGTTCCGGGCCGGCGATCTGGTTTGGGTCTCCACAGCGGAGTTCAGCCTTGAGCAAGACATCTCTCGCAAGCTCCTTCCCAAGTGGATGGGGCCTTGGCGCATTCTCTCTGCAGCTGGTGATGATCCCGAGGGGCCCTCATTCCGCATCGCGGTGCCACCTCACTTGCCCGTCCACACGGTGTTCCACTGTTCCAAACTCGCTCCTTTTGTTTCAGCGGAGTCCGACGAGTTTCCCGGTTGACGTACGCAAGACCCTCCTTCCATGGACCAATTTCAGGAGGCCGGCTACATCATCACCGACCGGCGCCATGGCAACAAAGAAACAGAGTTTCTACTTCACTTTTCCTACTGCAGCCACAAGGCTGACCGTTGGCTGACGCGTTCGGAACTGCAGGCCACAGCCCCCGCCGTTCTCTCACGCTATCTTAGCAAAGGGAAGACTACGCAGCAGAGCACTCCAGCTCCTCGCCATCCTCGCTACATTCCGCCATCGGATCGGCAGCTTCGCCCGCGCCCCGGCTCGTCTTCATAAGGAGGGGGGCGTGTTACATGYTGAAMGCMTACACACGGGCCCCTCACGGGACCCGAGGTTGGAATAGGGCCCCCAGGTCGCGTCACTGCAACCTGAAGGCCCTATGGCATTTTTACTTGGGCCTGCATTAGAAAAACGCCAGCTTTAGATTATTTTTATAGTCTTTATTTTATTTATTTGCTGCTGTTTTTCTAACGGGTGTACTGATGTCCGTTTTGTGGCCAGGTACACGCTTCTAGGGCCAGGGCCAGATTCAGGCCCAGAGGCTGAGCTCCTAAAAACGTTTGGACCTTTTCTTTTGTTTTCGAACGAACCCAGGTCAACGTTGAGGCCGGGTACGTCCGCACAGGACCGGTTTGAAGCCAGGTACCAGGAAGATTAATCCTGGACAGGGCCTGGACGTCCGGTAGGGACCCAGGCAGGCCGTTTTAGGCCAAGGACTGAACCAGTTTTCGAAGCCTGCGATCTGGACCGTGGGTCGGAGTTTCGATCTGCACGGTCCAGAACACAGGCCGTGGGTTTTCAGTCCTGGCCCAGCACTACTTAAGCTGGGCCATTGCCCAGTTCGGACACAGAAGGTACCAGGAGAAATCAAGCGTTATGCTGGTTCAGGAACTTGGCTGCTGCGCTATTTTGGAGACTCCCTGCTGCGTCATTTCGAGACTGCAGCTGCGCTGCTCATCGGCCATGAGGCACAGCGCTGGAGGAG